CACCTATCACATTCTACCCTACTTCTACATTATTCTACCTTGAAAACTCTATAAAAAGTTGAACTGAAAAAGGATATGATTTATAATGTTGCTCAAAATATTGAACATTGAAACATTTGTTATTTCATTCAATATTTCAATGTTTACTTATCTTATCTGAATGAATGATTACAGTGAATAAAATACTCATATAGAAGGAGAGAAGTGTCAATCATAAAGTTAGTCTTATGAAAAAGAAAAAAAAAAGAAAATTTTTACAACGAAAAAGAAAACAGATATAAACAACTATTACCAACTTTTACCAAACCTTCTCTAACTATATTGTAATGTAACCCATAAACTGTTTAAGTCATATCTTTGACATAATATTAGTTTATCAAAGCAATTATATTTATTTACGCATAGATGAACAGGTTAATCATTATATACGTGTATAATCTTAATCAGATTACTGTATGATGAATAAATTATATGCGGATAAGGTTTGAAACACACGTTTTCTTTTCAAAAACAAATAAAAACTTGTTAGTAAGTACTGAAATTTTCAAAAATTGTAAACTAGTTCTTGTATGTTTGCCGAGAATTCCTGAAAACAAATGATACAAGTTCCAATGTCGTAGTGGACGTCAATTCTTTGGAGATTGTAGATACGCTTCAGTAATGAATGTCAACAAATCAGAAACCTGCCAGTTGTCTTCAATTAACGAACATCTATCGAAGTGCATAACCAATCAATGCAAGTTTAACATTATTATTATTATTATTATTTGTCACTTAGGTTCCTACTGGAGCATAAGGACTCAGTAGCAAGTCGCCATCTATTCCCTGCACTACTTTCAACCTGACTCAACGACTGCTCAAAAGCTTTCATTTATTCATCACACGATCTCCTCCATGTAACCATCGCCTCGGACACCCAACTCGTCGTTTCCCATTTGCATTCCACTCAACGAACTGGCCTCACACGTGATGTCCCGAAACTGTCTTCTCAGTCTATGTACAATCCTATCCATCTCCACACGTTTTGCTTCTGCACATTTGTTGAGCAACGGGTTCTTGGTTGGTTCTTCGCCAGTCAGTCAGTCAGCCAGGCAGCCAGCCAGCCATAGTTCCTCCTTGCTCATTCTTATTATTCTGGCCAAATGATCTGATCCTCAGTATCAAGCGAGTGTAGGCAGGTGTTGATGAATGTCTGTAGTTTGTGGGAAATACTTTTCGTGATGCACCTCCAAGTCTCTCAACCATCACATAGAAGCACTGACTGACTTTACTGACTGAATTAGTGTTGAGAATGCGGATCTTGTTCACGCTTTGTGCTGAGTGCAGTGGAGTGTAGTGCAGTAGATCTCCACACTGATTATTTCAGATTATTGAAGGAATGCTTGTCTTACTGTATTTTCGATCCTGACTGGTTTTGACATCCTCGTCTGTGCCTGTGCCGCCTGTAGTTGAAAGGATATTGCCTAGGTGGGTAGGTAGGTGGAAGAGACTACCTCTCTTAGATTTCTCCTGTGTGTTGGTGCTTGTTGTTGGTGATGGTTGGGTACCTTCAACACCTCTGTCTTCTCTATGATCACCTGAAGTCCGGTCTTCGCTGCCTCAGCGTCAACTTGTTGGTTTATTGCTTGTAAATCTTCGTGTTTGTGATATAAGACATTCGACATAAGTCATCATCGTCGAAATTCAAGTGTAATAGGGTCGTCTCACCAGTATAGCGAATGCGCCTGATCTCGTTCCTCACAGTTTGCTGCATGATGCAGTCGACCACAATCAGGAGGATTATGGGTGATAGAAGGCGACAACTTATTTAACTCGTGTTCCCCGTCTTCACTTCAAGGACATCACCGAGCTTTCTACTGTGAATCACCTGGCATGTGGCGTCTTCATATAGCTGTTGAATGAGGTTGATAACGGTTTGTGGCAGTAAAACTGTAGTGTTGAAGCGTTTTCCAAATTATTTTTTGGTCAACGCTAAAGTTGGACGTTGATTCAACTCATTCCCTCTTCCAGTCTTCATAATAAATATACTTCTAGCTTCAACTTTAAGAATAGGATAAAAATGTCCCGGGATACAAGTATCATGTTTTCACACATTTATCCAATGAACACCCCACCTAAAAGTTACGGTTCATATATTAGGTACACTTAAGATGACGCATTGTGTTCGTTTTAGCTTAAACTATATGGTTATCATATTATGATCATTATTCTGCCATTTTAAATATTTCCAACCAAGAAGTACTTGAAAGATAAGTCAGTAATAGATAAGGTGTGTGTTTCCAATCCCTACACAAAAATCTGTTTGGTTATGTTAAACGGCTCTTGATTTTTATATTTACTCTGGAAAGCCCAAAGTGCAATATGTTTATGAAATATAATCTGTGTGTAATAATAAATAAGTTACTTATTATGGAGTAACTTATTCAACTGTATAACCCCTAGCACTGATTATTGACATAAATTGGTTCATCAGTTTTGCGCCTCAGTTACTCAGCTGAGCAACATGATACTGCAGTGCCATGACGCAATACAAGTTTCCTTATAGTTTCAGCTAATTCTTATTGATGAATGCCAAACAGCATGAAATCTGAGCACAGTGTCTTTTGTCGATTGACTTGCAATATCTAGTCACACATTTAGCAGAAAAAGGTAATTCCTCATTTCTTAACCACTGGTAAATACTGTACTGTTCAATCCTCAGGGGGTGACTTGAAATGCCATCCTAACAATGGCTAAGATAACCTGTTACAGCCTTCTGTTTTATCAGATCTAATTTCCCAGTAGAAATAACTAAGCCTGATTACTTATTGGCTCAGTGCCAATCGAATTCCACCAATTTCTTTTGTTATCAGGTCACGATACTAAAGGGTTTTGTTAGATGGTTGGAGGTGATCAGCCAGAGCACGTGATTACATCTAGCAGTCTAGGATTAAACGAGTAATTACTGAGATTAAATCATTGGATAAATTGTTGACAGAACAAACGAAAACTCATACTGACATAAACGTTTAATAAAAGAGAAATTAAATGGATAAGTAACTTAAGACGCAATTACCACATAAAAGCAGCTCCCAGTAGAATGTTTGTCACGAATCTCTAAGATGAATTGGATTATTTTAATAATGTAACGGAAAACATAAAGAACTGTGGTAGAGTATAACAACAAAGATTCTGTGATCAATCTCTCCCTCTGCCTAGCCACATAAGATATCAGAATTGTCACTCTACCCCACCCACTCTACTGTGTGATCACGGGGTAGTTCATGCAGAATAGCAATAGACGAGTTTTTCTCTAAATCATTTATCTGACTACTATTTACCATTGAATGTTCCGCTAAATTTGTTTGATCCACTATTCTAACTGACCCCAATCGGCTACTTTGATCTATGATACTTGACCTCACAATTATTGCATGATATCTGGTAGGTTAAGTAAATTTTCTTAATTGGCTCTACCAGATCTTTTAGCCTACAAAGTTTATCTCTGAGGGAGTTTTTGTGCCTAAATGCCACCCAGCATTGTCAAGGATTTTGCATAGAATTTCAAATGTGCCTTTTTTATATAGCAACAATACAGAGGATTTTATTTCCTTCTTAGGTATGTTGCAATCTCCCTTAACATTACAACTGGGTCGCTTATCAGTACTTTTAAACTTTTCAATAAACTTCAGACGGTAGTTATCAAGAAGTAATGTTTCTTTGATGTGATTCAATATCTTATTTAAGTTTTTTGACTTATTAGTAAGGCTCCTAACCCGATTAATTAGATATTTTATCAATCAAGGAGAAACGCTGAAGACTTTATGACTTAGCAGAGCCGAGTTCCATGTAATGATTGTGACATCAAGTTTACTGGTCAAAGCACCCGATCTGGGTCAATCAAAATAACAGAGCCCAAAAATTTGGCGAAACATACGGGGGCATTTAAAAGCTGCTCTACTAACAATTGAAATGACCAGTTAGGTTTTCCTTTTTCGGCTGTAACGGCAGATTCTTATAAAATGGAGAAGTGTAATTGGTTAACTCAGTTGTCCCTAGGGTGGACTTTAAAGTTGCAAAAACATATAATGATAAACCATAGTGATATAAATGATTAAGAGAATACTTGGCTGTGGCTCTGCATTCACTAACCCATAATCACACCATAGGGTGAGTGTAGCATAGGGTAGCAATTCTAAAATCAAATGATATACCTAGATGGAGGGAGAGATTGATCACAGAACCTTTTTTTCATTTAATCAACAACCAACACATGTAACAGGAATGATCTGTCATCACATATCTGAAAATCTTAATACCTTTCAGATGAAAAATGAAGAACTGTTGGACTATATAACTGAAGTTTGAAAGTCGTTTGATTGTTTCGGTACGAATATGAGCAATAATTTGTGCTCGAAATGTCATCCAGTAAATTATAATGTGTCACTGTAAGCCTTATCAGTCAAACAGACGATCTAATAGAGTTGGTATTGATCATGGACTGACATTGGTTGGGGGAACATTAGGAACCTGGGAGCACCGGACAGTTGTTTCATCCTGGTATGGAGATCTCAGAGGCGTACATTCGTGACCTCACCAGGAATTGAATCTAAACCCTTTAGGTTCTGTGGGCAGTACGTTGCCATTGAGCCACCAGGTCGTCAACTGACAGAAATTAGAAAACGGACCACTGGATTCCGACCTAGTGGCTAATTGGTAACGTCCTCGCCAAGGAACCTGAAGGTCGCGTGTTCGATCCCATACGGGTGGGGTCATAGGTGCCCGCAGATGAAGAGTCCCACACTGTGACGAAACAACTGTCCAGTGTTCACAGGTTTCCAATCTTTCTCTAACTGACGTCAGTCCAGGATGAATGCCAACTTGAAAAATCAATAAATTCCCACAAACCCTTAGTTTAATAATTGTTGAAGGGTGACCATGACACCAGCTAACTCACTTAAACGACGATTCGATTGATAATTTTAAAATAAAAAGGAATATATAAACCTTCCATCACTAACCTGAATCACTTGGATCTTCAATCGATTCTGAAGTATGAAACTGCATGCACATACTTGTCTTACCGACTCGACCAGTTCCAATCACTTGAACTTGAAGTAGACGATCATCTAGGCATACTTCTCCACCAGTTGGTGATTCTAGTTGTTTAGGTGAAGTTTCTGGACTGTCTGAGACAATAGCCCATGATTTAGAACGTAAACGTGTCTCTGGTTTAAATCCTCTAACTGGACTGCTTGTACGCTTTCCATAGTATCTGTGTAAACCATCGTTTGAAGCTCTAGGTGAATTGGCTGTGGTGGTAATTGCTGGAATTTCAATAACCTCATCACTCAACGATGAATCGGACTGATGTCGAATACTTTCAGGAATTGATCGTGGATATGCTACTGATGCTCGTGAATCACCTGACGGACTTCTTGAGGGGAATATTTCGATCTGTGGAACATCTCTGTCACCTTTACTGATAACTTCCCCATGTTTATTACGTGCAAAACGTCTAACACGTAGCATATTTTCATCTGGTTGAGCTATAGAATGTCGGCTAGGTGAATATTGGCAAACTGGATAATTGGCTGGATGAAGTGTTGGTGCTGATGGCCTTGAACCGTGTTTATCTTGACTAGGATTACGCTTAAAGCTTGTTTCCTTCATAGAACCAGGTCTGTCACGTGTTGTCCCAGGTCGATACATTACTGGAGAGCATGAGTATGGACCTGGGGATTCATGACTTATGTCTGTACTCGGTCGGTATCTTGGCGTATCTGTGGTGCGCAAAGCAACTGTGTCATTTGCCTCATTCAAATACCGCGGACGCTGTTGTCTGTATGATTGCCTTGAGCCCGAGCTATAACTTGAATGTGTTAACTCGTTAGGATTATCCCATTGCTGACTAAATCTCATAGGTGATCTGGTTGCACTGATTTCTCCACTGAAACTACTCGGTTGAAATGATGTTCTGCGCCTGGGCTCTCGAAAACTCGATGCACGTTTCAGTGATTCTACAGTCAGTGTAGCTGGGTACTCTACCACTCCTGGTGGTAGATTATTATTGTTATTTCCATGATAAGATGGTTCTGTAATTTGTATTGTAGGCGCCAGACTATCACGTGGAGAACGTTGTGCTATCTGACAGAATCTTTCAAAATCATCAGAAACATCGGAATCATCCATTTATTTGAGTGTGTGTGTGTGTGTGTGCTGTGAAGAACAACAGTAAAACTGTTAAATTAAGGACGATTATTGGAATTCCACAGTGTAATGCATAAAACTGTTATAAACGCTTGATTCAGCTATTCGTGCATAGTACTGTCTTCTGAGTATCTTTTCTTTATATTTGCCTAAGAAGTGGAAAAGTGTTTGCAGAATAAAGACTGTGACCAATCAGAATGTCTCAATGTTGTTGACCTTAGTAAATATACACACATCTACACAGACACAGCCTAAAGTCTTCTCATTTAGAAAATGTATGGGTTTATTTGTATGTATGTTAACCTGTCTGCCAATTAAGCAAACATTATCTGTCCGTATAGCGATCTACCTACATTAAGATATTTATTGCCTCAACAAGCATTAATTGCAAAAAGAAACGGTTGGGAAATCATACCTAATTATCATATTAATACGTGCAGTTATTTAGGCGATGATTCCAAAAAACTGTACGTTAACCTTACCTTGTCGATACTTGTAATTCCCCACTGATTATCCCTACTTGAGCGAACTGATTAGTCACTATTGGCATGTGAGCCACTTGAATAAATGATTATATGCTGCCTCAAATTTCAGTTTGACGCTGATTGCTTGATGATAACTAGTAGAACGCTCTAGGATTTGAATTTCATCCTTTTTGGGACTCGTCAGCTGAACTCATCTGAGTGATAGTGTTCTCAATAAGGCTTGGATCCAGAACACATCATTTTAAATGCCCAAGTCACGACAGCCGTTTCTCGTTCGACGAGTATCATGTGCTATTTAATAATAATTGTAATTTATGGTTGTTCCATTGTATTGATTCGATTGGTCCATGTAGACATTTTGGTTTCTATGCGGATGCCTCAGTATTCCATGAAGATGATACCCATTGCACAAGAGGTGTGTATCGTGACTTATTAAACTAGCAAATAAAACCGTGGTACTTAAATCCTACTCTTAGACCCAAACAACCAAGTAACAGTACCACCACTTTTCAAATGCGACTTATTTGGTTTCACTTCTTTCAAAGAATTCACCTGAAAAACAGGTCTTTTGGTTAAATTATGTTATAAGAGTTGGGAGGTCAGCTGATTAAGCTCCCATTTTCAGTATAGACGAAATCATCAACAAAAACCTCAGAAATAAAGCCTACTAATTAGACGGTTTTTGTCAGCTTAATATTGATAAACTACATTGGTGTGTTATTTACGATTTCTTCACACAACTTCCGGTTGTGGTTGCCATGCTGCTGAGATTCAGTAGTTGCCCGCTATCCATGCGGATCCTGAATGGGACATAGAGATAGGTCCCCCAACACTAGAAGAAGTTGAGAAAGCAGTAGGTAACCTGAAACGAGGAAGGGCAGCAGGACGAGACGGACTAACTCCAGAGGTATACAAGGATGGTGGTGGAGTGCTCTTAGTTAGGTTAGCGGAAGTGTTAACCAGTATGTGGGAATCAAATACGATACCCTCTGACTGGTCTAAGTCACTGATTATCCCAGTCTTCAAGAAAGGCGAGGAGTCCTCTTGTGATAACCACAGAGGAATCAGCCTGACGAACATAGTGTCTAAGATCCTAAGTTCTCCGACGCCTGAGTTAAGCTCTGGAACAACAAGCCCGAGAAAACCAGGCAGGCTTTAGACCTGGCTATGGGTTTATCGACCAAATATTCACACTGAGCCAGGTTTTGGAACACAGATACGCTTACCGACGCCCAACACTGGCTGTACTTCTCAACCTGAAGGCGGCATTTAACTCCGTTGATCGAGAAGTCTTATGGTAATGTCTCTCACTCAAAGGCGAGCCGAGTAAGTACATCACCCTATTGAAGGCTCTCTACTTGAACACTTGTGGGCATGTTAGAGGCTACGGAGAGATGTCAGATGAGCTGTACTCATCGAGTGGTGTCCGTCAAAGGGTGCCCACTCTCTCAATTCTTATTCAATTTTATTATAGATGTTCTTATGGGGGTTTCCCTCTAGTCGCCTGATTATACAGACGTTGACCTAATCACAGGAGAATTTTTGTTAGACCTAGAATATGCAGATGACATAGTCCTGTTAAGTGAATACGCTGACTGATGAGATGCAGAGTCTTCTGAACACTTTAAGTGGGAATTTGAGAATGTTTGGGACGCATTTCTCACTACCCGAATGCAAATTGCTGCTCCACGATTGGTCTTCAACGGTGCCTCGACTAACAATAGAGAGTGAAGTGGTTGAGTGTGTTGATCCATTTCACTTACCTGGAAAGTAGGATCACCCCCGGTGGGTCAGTTGCCGATGAGATTTCTGAACGGATACAAAATGCTCTATTGGCTTTTGCAAATTTACACCACTTATGGCGCCGCCATGATATCCGATTGTCTATTAAGGGTCGCATGTACTGCATAACCGTCCGGTATGTTCTACTCTATGGCTGTGAAACATGCCCACTGAAGGTGGAAGGCATGGGAAGGCTGGCTTCAGGTGTTTGACCACCGTTGTCTTCGTAGTATAGGCCATATTCCGTGGTGTCACGTGAGTAACGGAAGCATCAGGAGTAGAGTTTTAGGGAGAAGAGGTAAATCAGGTGACAAGGTTGAGAACCTTCATCGACTGAGATGGTTGGGACATGTGTTACGTATGTCTAGTCACCGATTGCCTCGTCACACAATGTTGGCTGAGGTGGGTCCAGGCTGGAAAAAGGTCCGAGGTAGCCAGACTAAAATATGGCACCAATGTATGAAGTGTTTGGCTGTTGGTTTGAGCCGTGTATGGGGGGGGGCGATGCAGGCTGGGTGGTTGGGGTCCGTGGGACAAGAGGAACCAGTGATTGGAGACTCTAGGTGATATGGCTGAGAACCGATGTCAGTGTCGCAGATGTATACATACCTTATCCTCATCTTAACTCTATACCGAGTCTCACCACTTTCTCATTCTTCGTTTCTCTCTTTTTGTACTTTATATTCCTTTGGACTGCATTCTCTTATCTTCATCTTGAACCTAACTGCCTTTTTACTTGAGGTACTGATATAAGGTATGGCAACGTGGACCATCACGCAGTAGTGTCTTTTCCTAAGTTGATGTGGATTCAGTAGTTCAGCATAGTGAATTCGTATGTAAACAGTTAATTCAGTATTCAACAAAGCATTTTCTTTAGTGTGCATTATTTCATGGAAACAGTTAGTTATATCATACTGTCGCTTCACTAGACATCGTCATTAGTGCAAATGAAAATGGGACTCAGGTAAATCCTTGATCCTTTGAATTTCCCGAAGAATAATGACATCAAACTGTATACATTGTAAAAGAAGTAGTTGTTGTAGCGACGTAGACTAGTGGATAACGGTCTCGCGTTTGATGCTGTTAGCCCTTGGTTTGAGCTCCAGTAGGAACCCCGTCACAGACAGTTATATCCAGCTGAAGAGTCCCAGATGCGAAAAACTCATGTTTTCGATTCCACTGCTAGCCACAAAAAAAAGCGAATAACATCAGGATTCAAGTGATCTGATCGTAATTAGTGAATTAGGCTGCTTTTAATAGCCATAGCATGTGCTCAACTTATACAGTTTGGAATACTGGGATGTGTAAATTTGACAGTAATTACGGGATTTCCTGAGTCTTGACTTTGAAATAAACTAAGAATAAATTCCTATGTTGATTTAAACAGAATATATATACCTAAATATTCCGCAGACATCTATCAATATAGACGTTGAGAAACTTAGATCTAGCTCAAGTTTCAATCACCAGCAAGTCAACTGGCTGTGATTGGTCAGCATTCGAAGGTTACTTTATTATTATTATTATTATTATTATTATTATTATTATTATTATTATCATTATTATTATTATTATTAGTCCCTTGGGTTCCTAGTGGAACATAGGGCTTCAGTAGCACGCCTCCAGTGACCTCTGTTCTCTGAGATCTTTTGAACATGGTTCCACGACAGCCCAGAAGCTCTCATTTCCTCCTCGCACGACCTCCTCCATGTCACCCTCGGACGTCCAACTCGTCGCTTCCCATGGGGATTCCACTCGAGGGCCTGGCGCGTGATGTCCTCCGTCGGCCTTCTCAGTGCATGCCCAATCCATCTCCACTTCCTCCTGCATATTTGCTGCGTGATAGGTTCTTGGTTGGTTCGTCCCCAGAGCTCCTTGTTGCTTATTTTTTCTGGCCATCTGATCTTCAGTAGCGAGTGAGCGTAAGCAGTTGTTGATGAATGTCTGTAGTTTATTGGAAATGCCTTTCGTGACGCGCCAAGTCTCTGAACCATACAGAAGCACTGACTTGACGTTGGTGTTGAAAATCCGTATCTTGTTCCGCATGCTGAGTGTAGAAGATCTCCACACTGGTTTCAGGCTAATGAACGCCTGTCTTGCTTTTCCGATTCTGACTTTGACGTCCTCGTCTCTCCCGCCTGTAGTTGAAACAGTGCTTCCTAGATAAGTGAAGGAGGTAGGTTACTTAATAAAACCAAATAACTCTCCTTCGATAAAAACCAATGAACAAATGACCATAAACAATATGATTTAAGAGAAGTCAAGCCATTTAGCCAATCTGAAGAGCTTGTTTGCAATCACTTAATCAACTTCATACAATTTCTACCACTTAACTTAAGCATATGATGCCAGTCAGTTATAAAAGCGAGACATTTTAACTACGCAGTAAAACAAGACAAACCGATGAATGAAAATATAATAACTTTCGTGTAATGCATTTAAAAAACAGGAAGCGAAATAAGGTAATTTCACTTTCACTAGTCTGTTAGACATATGACACACAGTGAAGGAAAAGTATTATTTACTGGATAGAATTTCGGGCCCAGTTTTATGTCCACAGTCATATCAAAATAAGTCTGCAACTTTGAGAATTTTCCACGCATCCGGAACACCTACTAAATCATTATTGTTTGAGGTATTTAATGTTGTTTTTGATGAACAAGTACTTGATCATCACTTCCTCCTCCTCGACCAAACACCAAGTTACTTCAAAGGACTATCAATCTGGCTCATCCTGTTGTGGGATTGCGTAAAATTACATCCATAGCTATGACCGGGCTTTTTCTAGATTCCTTATCTACCAGGATCTGCCAATATTGATCTAACTTGGTTTTTGTGCTCTGAGAGCGTAACTGATCTC